TTGGGGGTCACTTTGAAAAAAACACCACTGAAAATCTTCTGCAGACGAAGCCTTGCAATGGTCTTCTGCACCATTAAACTCACCCCATTAATCCTGAAATGAACAGCAGAGGAAGTCAGGCTCTATTCAGTTTATGTCAGTCCAGCAAGCATCTATGAAATGCACATTACTACTGGGCATCCAGAGAGTAAGACATAGACTGTGCCTTACAGAGTTCAACTGACCAGGAGACAGCTACGTAAGCAAATGACTCCCACAGGATATGGAGCAATGCCTGAGATGCTATGGGAACAGAGAGATTGGCCCCTGAATGTATGTATGTATGTATGTATGTATGTATGTGTGTGTGTGTGTTTATGTATATTAAGCTAAGGAAGCTGGACTTGCTTCTGTGGACAGTACCAGATTTGAGAGTATCACACCAGAGGCAGGGAAACCTATTAGTAGTTAGAAAGCTAACGTGATAGTACAGGAAAGAGATTGTGGGCAGTGGTAGGAGGCCTAATAAAAAGGGCTCATAAATACTTAAAACCCCCAAGTTTCTGGTTTGGGTGATTGGGTAGGGGAACTAGGAAGAGGCAGAGTTTCATGTGCAGGCAGAAATTGGCAGAGAGCCCACAAAATGTGTAAAAAGCTTTATGCACTTTCCCTAGCACTGAATATGCTCCATCTACTTGACCTTGGTTCAGTTCCTAGAAAGATGCCTTGGTTACGCCACTTGAGGACTTTTTGCATCTATGCTGGAGAGCCTTTCCTTAACACTGAACTCCTTACATGTGTGCAGGCCTCAGCTTCAAATTCCTGCTTTAGAAGTGTCCTAAACCACAGCACACACTTCCCGCTCTCCCCAATCCAGCACTTGACCTTCATAGCACTCAGTGTATTTTCATGTCTGTTTGCCCAAGGTCAGTCTCCTCAATCTTGAAGACAAAACCTAGGTTGTACTCAACCCTGAATTCCTAGCACAACTTGCCTTAGTGCCTTAAGGCCTATTATCTCATCTACCTAGAAAGGGCTCTAAAGCTGAATCAATAGTTTGCCCCAGCCTCACGTAATCTGGCAAGTTACCTACCTTTGGATACGTACAACAAAGGCCAAGGAATGTTCATCTGGCACTTCCAAACCATGAGGTTTCACTTCTAGTCGTGTGAGGCGTACCTTGTCAC